AACACCACTCTCTACCCCACCTCAAAAACACCACTCTCTACCCCACCTCAAAAACACCACTTGCTACCCCACCTCAAAAACACCACTCCCTACCCCACATCCCCCCAATTGCTGCCAAATGCCCCTTGCTCTGACCTGAACCCCTGGAGAAGGGCCTTGTCTGTGGCTGTCCCCACATCCTCCCCTCCCAAGCTCTCAAGTCCATCCAACCGGGCCTTCTCCCTGCTCTACCTAACCTGACCTGAAGGTCGACCTCAGGGTCACCCACATGTCCCCACTGGTTTCTGACCACCCCTCGGCCTGGCCTCATCAGGGGCCACTCCTGGCTCCACCTCTTCAAAGCCCCACCCTGGTGTGGCTCCTCCCTCCTGCCCCCTCTCCCCACCCCAGCCAGCCCCTCTTCACCCACCCAGGCACAGGGCGCTCTCCTCTCAGTCCTGGCATAATCCTGGGGTCGCCCTAGTTTCACGGCCTCCCATCAGGAGCCCTGGAATGGCTGCTCAGCCAGCACCCTCACCCTGGACCCACAGGCCCCCTGCACACTCCAGGCCACTACCCTGACCGTCCACAGGACAGCACCTAGACGCCCCCATTCAGGACAGAATTCTGGCCACTTCCACCAAATGGCAGATACCTCCTGGTATCACACCCAACCCATGAACAAATCCTGTTGGCCCCACCTTCAAATCAATCTAATCAATCTAGAGACCCTCACCCTGGGTGACCCCCCCCCCGCCCCTGCTCCCAGACCCTCCACAAGCTGCCTCACGGCAGCCCTGCCCCAACCTGAAGCCCACACCCTGGCTGTCCAGGCTGCACCTGCAGTTGGTTGGAAATTTAGAGCCTGGGCCAACCCAAACCAGCGGAGCAGAAGTGTGTGAGCCAGGACTTCTCGGCCACACCCACGTGCGTGACGGGTGTGTGCATGTATTCACGTGCATGCGGCTGTGTGCACGTGCGCGCGCGCCATCCCTGGACACACCTGCATGCGTGACACGTGTTTGTGTCGCGTGTGCATGCGTGCGTGACACGTGTGCATGTGTGATGTGTGTGTGTGTACCGCCTGTGTACCTGCACATGCCACAGGTCTGAGGAGCACGGGCCTGTCCTCCCCCCAGGCTCCCTGTGCACAGCCCTGCCTCAAGGAAACCCGAGTCCCAAATGGCCACAGCTCTTCTGCTCCAGAGCCAGCCTGTGCAGGAAGCAGCACCCCTGCCCTGCAGCCACTTCACATCTGGCAGGGAATCCTCACACTTCGGCTGCCTCGGCACCCATTCTGAATCTAGGCTGGACCTTCTCCGACCCGAAGCATGCCCACCCCCTCGCCGACACCTTCCAGCTCACATCCCCCCCCTTCCTCGCAACTGCCCCTGGTGACCACCTCCCTGTGTCCCCCTGGACCCCAAGCCCACATGGACTATGCAGCCAGGCCGCAGAGTCCCTCACATCACAGCGTGGCCACTCGGGGCTTGTGCCCGTGTGCTTTAAACCCACCATTTAAAACTCCAACTCCCCGAGGGAAACCTGTGTGCAGAACACCCTAGACTCAATAAAGGGTCGGCCTGGGGGTCCCCATCTCTCCACTGTCCCTGGCCTCCCTATGTGTGTGGCCTCCCAGGGGGCCGGGCACCCCAGGGCCCGAGGGTGATCAAAGCTGTTTTCCTTTGTGTCTCTCTCGATCACTGGGGGCTGCTCTCCCTCCCACAGATCCTGGATGGAAACACAGCTTCACCGTCGGACATGCTGCTGAGCATGGGGGCACTGCAGCATCCTCTCTGCACTGTGCCCAGGCTGGCACTCGAGGACGCACAGAACAGGGGTGGAGCTGACAGTGGAGAGAGGGCATGAGTGAATGTCACTAACCCACCCTGGTGAGAAGCCACATGTGCCAGAGAGAGGTGAACCCCAAGGAACGGCACCCAGAGGATACATGGGATCATCAGGAAAGGCCAAACGGAAGAATGAGTGAAAGAAACAGGCATGTGTCTAAAGAGGAAGCAGAACAGCCAAAGCCAGTTTGGGATGACGTTTAGCTCAGTACTGACAGGCAAGTGTGATTCACACGGCAGGAAAGGGTCACATGGAGTGGAGAGGGTGCTGGGAGATGGGGACCCTGCTGCCCCACTGAGCACAGACCTGTCAGGAAGCCCCAGACAGCAATCCCACTGTTTGCCACCAACCAAAAAAACACAGACAAATGCACCCAGAGCCACACACACAGATATCCACAGCACCAGGCATCTGCACAGGTGAAAAATCAGGAAACGCCCACTTCGTCCTGAAGTGGGTCCCTGGCGACTTGAACATGGTGGCCAGGGACACCCCCACATCCCAGACCACCTGCTGAAAAGCCTGAGGCGAAGGCCCAGCTGCCTCTTCTGCCCCATCCCGTCCCTCCCCTACCCCTGCCTGACCCTTATCACTGGGGTAAGTCTTGAAACCAGGGACTCCACTTTATTCTTTAGAAGAGTTATTTGAGCTATTCTAGGTCCTTTGCCTTTACATGTAAATTTTAGAATAAGCTTGTGTAGTATTAAAAAAAAAAAGAAAAGCTGAGATTTTTTAGGACTGTATAAAACCTACAGATTAACTCGGGGAGTTAGCAACGTTTGTAGGAAGCCAGCTCTGAACTGTCAGGCAGCACCAGGGGCAGAACGGCCACGGAGCCCAGCATGTGGAGGGGCCACAGCTAATGCACGCCAGGGCAGAGAGACATGGACCCTGCACAGGAGCCGCCAAAAAGGCAGCAAGTGGGGTCGGAACATCCCGAAGTCGAGAAGGAAGCCATCAGCAGCAGCATCAGATACCAGAGGCCAAGAAACTGAGGCCTGAGAACAGCCCCTTGGCAAGTGGCAATTCGGAGGGGCTGGTTCCCTGGAGACGCTGAAGGAGAGCAGAGGGGAGGGCTGCAAACAGCAGAAGGCAGCCCCAGTGAGGGGGAGGGCCGGGCGGGAGCAGCAGTGCCACAGAAAGAGAAAAGGGAGGGCAGTAGGAAGACGCCTTCTGTCTCTGAAGGGAGGCTTTCCTGAGACCCGGGACCACCAGAGCCACCCAAGGTTGTGGGCAAACACTGAAGGGATGGGAGGAGACCAAGATAAAGGACAAGTGACAGGGTTGGGGCTGGCAATCACCACACCCCCTGCACACCCCCAGGGGCTGCCCCTCTTCTCCCGACTGTGTCCCGCCCTATCAAGGGAGCAGCCTCCACCAGCAACTGCCCGGGCTGGTGATGATGGGGGCTGTGGGGTGCAGTTACAGATTAATAAATATCCAACATTTGTTTCAAAAATACTAAAACTGGCCGGGCGTTGGTGGCTCACACCTATAATCCCAGCACTTTGGGAGGCTAAGGCGGGCAGATCACAAAGTCAGGGGTTAAGAGACCAGCCTGACCGACATGGTGAAACCCCATCTCTACGAAAAATATAAAAATTAGCCGGGTGTGGTGGGCGCCTGTAGTCCCAGCTACTCGGAAGGCCGAGACAGGAGAATCACCTGAACCCGGGAGGCAGAGGTTGCGGTGAGCCACGAAGGTGCCACTGCACTCCAGCCTGGGCGACTCCGTCCCAAAAAAAAGAAAAAGATACAAAAATACTAAAACCACAAAACAAAAAAAAAACATGTTTGAGCTGGCGTAATTTTGTTTGTCAAAGACCACTGCTCGTTCTGTGGTTACGTCCTTCACACCAGCTGAAGGCACCTGGACATATGTCAGCAGCACTTGAACACGCCTGCTCCCAGGCCGCACCTCGCCTCGGCCTGCGGCGTCCCCAGTGCTGGTCCTCGTCAGTGGCGCCGTGATCGCGCGCCCACCCTAGATGCGCTCCTGCACGCTGGGTACGGATTATCCCGGAACCGGGACTCCTGGGTCAAAGGAGACTATTTGGGTAAGGCTGTGATAACTCAGCCAAAGCGCCTTCAGGAGAGCCTGACCCTTTTCGTTCTTACCCACCCACCACCCTCCCAGCAGTCCAAAGCAGGGGTCAGCAAACCTCTAGCAGCAGCACCCTTCTCTCGTGAAATCTCACCCAAAGCCCCACAGAGGCAGACAGAGCTGCTGCTCCAGCCCTCTGAAGCCAGGGCCCTGCGGCTAGAGAGCCAAGCAGCTGCCAACCTGGCCCTGCTCTGCCTTGCACTTGCCGGTGGACGGCGTCCATGGGCACGCCGACTACTAACCTGGCCCAGACCGAGGCTGGTGCCAGCACCCCTCAAGGCCCTAGAAACTTGCTGACCACTCCAGTGTCTGCTCTGTAACAACACCCGGGACTCTAGGTAGCGGCTATTGACCTGGGTCAGCCTTGGCAGCCCACGAGGGACTGGGGTGCTGGGCAGGTCCTACAGCCTCCCAAAGCCCCAGATGCCACAACACACAGGGAGACTTCCGCTTAGCTCAGAGACTGTTCTGAGGATCGCAAGACCCTGAGAGCGCCCAGCACAGAGACACACTGAATAACATGCCTTTCTTTCCTTTTGATGATATTCACCAGGTCTTAAAAAACAGCAAACAGGCCAGCTTCAGTGTTTACCCCGGTCTGGTTTCTCGGCTCTAACCCTATGGTGTTGGAGGCTGGTGAACACTGACACTACAGGCCTCCACTGCAGACTGACAGACATCAGCCAACAACACGCGCAGCAAACACTTCCAGGGCTCAGAGAATCAGCTGGGGGTGAGTTCCAGCTAAGCCTATGTAACTAAGGCACATCCATCCAAGGTAGAAAGGCTGTTGTTTGCAAATAAAAGATGTTTAACAGGCAAGGCTGTTTCAGAACATAAAACCTGCCACCTGAGGACAGAATCCTTACCTTCATAAGGGGTCATCTCTGGGCCTCTGACCACATAGTGCCTAAGGGAGAGAAGAAAATTAGTTGGGATTTGAGGACAGCAAATTCTCCAAAATCTGAAAATTCCAAGCCTGGGGTTCATAGGACACAGCCAAAATTACATTCACATTCAGGTAGAAGGTGAACAAAGGAAGGTGGAATGTCACACGGCAACACGGCTTCAAAGCCGCCAGTCTCTTCTGCTCTGGGTGCTTTTAGTCTCTGTGTAATGGAATCTTAGAGACTATATAAGCTTACCATAAAGTAACTTTGTTTCTACAACATAACATACACGAAGCTAATCCTCTCTAATCGTTAATAACAACTGAGGCTGGGCGGGGTGCCTCACATCTGTAATCCCAGCACTTTGGGAGGCTGAGGTAGGCAGATCACGAGGTCAGGAGTTTGAGACCAGCCTGGCCAGTAAAGCCCCGTCTCTACTAAAAATAAAAAACTTAGCCGGGCATGGTAGCACACGCCTATAGTTCCAGCTACTCAGGAGGCTGAGGCAGAGAACTGGTGAACCCAAGAAGCGAAGGTTGCAGTGAGCCGAGATGGCACCACTGCACTCCTG